GAGAGAGAGAGAGAGAGAGAGAGAGAGAGAGAGAGAGAGAGAGAGAGAGAGAGAGAGAGAGAGAGAGAGAGAAGTGACACTGTGAGGACTGAGATCAGGGAAAGAAGCAGAGGTCATTAGGTGGAAAATGTGGGAGTATGCTTCAAGAGTATCAAAGAGCAACAGAGGGTTTTGATTGATGTGAAGTGAAAGTTTGGTGGGGGAGGAGGGACTATTTTAACTGTGTCTACCAGTCTGAGAGAAGACTGCGCAATTCTACTGCTGATATCCTTAGAAGGATGTGAGTTTAGTTCAGCGATATCTGCAGCGAGTTCCCAGCGATCAGTCTGGTCGTGTTGGGGTTGTTGGGGCAGTTGGCAAATCACGATCCGCAGGACGACCCGTCTCCAGTTTCTTCGGCGAAGGACTGACGTCTGGTACACTGACTTGGGTGTCAGTGTGCTTCATCAATCACTGACAGCAGACGAAGTTTGACCAAATTCTGAGTCATATCTGACATTGACTCGGTAGGCAGTCTGCGACCGGAATAACTGACGTCAGCGCCAGAAGATCTGACTTCCCATTTTTGAGCGCATTGTCAATTCCACCTAGTAGAACCATTTGATCGCATGCAGAGAAAGGGATGCTGGAAACATCGAGAGATTGTTTTTATATCTCCGCTCCGCTGACTTGGTTTGAAAAGTCTGCCGCCAAGTTTGGCAGCGCTACAATGAAGACGTGTCAGATTCTCAAACTCGTGATCGATGAAGGGAAGAGCTGAGGACCAGTAGACTCTGAGAGTCTGAGTTGCAAGCGGAGGAAGCAATCATGGTGAAGATCTTGCTGCGTGCCATGCGTGGAGCAAGCAGGGAGCTTTCTGGAAAACAAACATGTGGCTGAGATTTTGCCAATGGGTAAGAGGTTCACGAGCAGTTGAGCAGTCGGTAGTAAGTTTCGAAGATTCTCTTCTGGATTCTGAGTTTGTGGCTGACGTTTGAGGTCTCACCAATCGCTGTTTGGCCAAAAATATAAAAATATAGGCAGCAAGGAGAGCCGTAGATAACGACGACTTTGTGTGTGGCTGAGATTGGCAGTTGCAGTAAGTGGATGACGACCGGTCGCTGTATTTCTCGCATTCTGTTATTGGTAGCAGCTCTGTGGCTGAGGTTCGAGGTTGGGCAAAAGGGCGTCACCAATCGCTGTTTGGCCAAACAAGACAGAGCCAGCAGGGAAGGTTGTCGATAACGGACATCGTGGCTGAGATCGATGATGACGACGACTCGCTATGATATTTCTCGCATTCTCTTCTGGGTAGCGACCGGTCGCTGTATTTTTCGCATTCTCTTCTCGGTAGCAGCTCTGTGACTGAGGTTCGAGGTTGGGCAAAAGGGCATCACCAATCGCTGGTTGGCCAAACAAGACAGAGCCAGCAGGGAAGGTTGTCGATAACGGACATCGTGGCTGAGATCGATGATCCGTAAAAGAGGATGACGACGAGTCGCCGCTACGACCTTTCTCGCATTCTCTTTTGGGTAGCGTCTTTTTGACTGAGGTTCGAGGTTGGGTAAATGACTTCTTCACACCGGTCACTGTTTGCCCAAACATGTATAGCCGGCAGGGAGCCTTGTGTGTGGATAGATAACGACTTTGTGGCTGAGATTGAGTATTGGCTATTGGCTATTGGTAAGTGAATGACGATCAGTCACCAGCAGGGATCAGGGATCCTCCTTCCTGTTAAGGACTTTGTCGATAAGGATTTTGTCGATTCGGAGTTTGTGGCTAAGCTTGAAGAATCTGATCAGATTCTGTAAAAGGTCGATTGACCGCCAGTTTTTTTTTTTTGGGATTCTTCCAAGTTCCGAGCCGCAACAACTTTTTTGCCGACGTTGGAGATTCAATTTGATGAAGGGTTGACCTTTGTCCCTGTTGGGCCCCGGATCGGGACATGTTCCCGAGGTTGGAGATTGATGAAAGGGGTTCAAAGGTAGACAGACACCTGGCACCGTTGTCCCAATGGGCCCACTGCAGAGATCCTTACGGATACCAGGTGGGCCCACCGTTGTCCCAATGGGCCCACTGTAGACAGACACCTTCTGCAGAGATCCTTATGGATAACGAACAAACTTGAGGCTAAGATTGAAGATCTGTACGCGGATTGATTGGCGACCACTTTTTTTTCGGATTCTTCGGGATCGCAACTTGTTGCAGAAGGGTGGAGATTTGTGAAAGCCTGAAAGGGGGTGACCGCTACTAGAATCACATGTTTGTCACCCGAGAGCGGCCTGCTAAGATCCGTTTGGAATCTGGATATTAATCAAATTGTGGCCCTGACTGGAGATTGACAATCATTATGATGGTCCGGGTCGACCAAGTGCAGCGTACCTCTTCGTAAGGGTTTGACCAAATTTCTTCAGTGGCGACGTTGACTGAAGCCTGGTGTTTGTCTGACTTGTGAAAAAATCGCTGGAGCTCAAACATCCAGGAAGAAGTTTGGAGACGGTGTTCCTGCAAATACCGGGAAGTTTAGTGAGGGTATTCCTGCAAATAGCAGGAAGTTTCGTCGTGAGAGTATTCCTGCAAATACCAGGAAGTTTCAAGAGGGTATTGGTGCAAATACCGGGAAGTTTCGTGAGGGTATTCCTGAAAATACCGGGAAGTTTCGTGAGGGTATTGGTGCAAATACCGGGAAGTTTCGTGAGGGTATTGCTGCAAAGTAACTGTCCGTGTGCAGCTGCAGCGTAGGCACGGTCCGGTTTTCTGAAGAAGAGCATGCTTGCTTGTGGACTTTTGTGGATGTATATGACCGTGTTTACGACCAGGTTCTTCGGAGAAAGTAGGTTGGCAATTGAGATATCAAATGCCTCTGGTATAATTGCTCATGGGGAAAGAACGTGGTCGTAAAGCCTGGTCATGTACATCCATCGGGAGGATGCTGGCTGTGGTGGAATGCAGTTACTAGGACACGGTGAGGATGCTCTGAACGTTGATGGGTGAAGATGGCTGCACACTTGCACTGTAATGGATGCATCTGACCATGTTTACGACCAGATTCTTGCGAGAAAAAGCCTTGGTGTGACTTTGCTGCCCTTCGAAGATTGCCAGAGATATCACATGATGCGCCTGGCTGTGATTTTTGCCAGATGCATGCTGGCTCTCGGTGGAGAAGCTCTGAAAAAATGCCATACCTTCTTCCCCCGAATGCAATGCCCTAGCATCATCTGCAGGTTGGACTGTATTTGGACCCGAACAGGGTTTGTATTCATGCATATAATTGGGGGGCTAAGTATGTCTGGGGGAAGAAGGTAGGGAGGGGGAGGTGCACATGCTTTGGAAGTTGCTGAGGGAAGATGCATTGAATCGAGTCCGACTCGATGATTGAGCGAAGCTTAGTTGAAAGCCGATGCCGCTTTTTTGAGCAATCCATTTGGCGACCTCAGGGCCTTGCTCCACCACTTGCCGATAATTGCAGAACGAAGAAAAAAAAAATGGTGAGCGTATCTTTCCACCTTCTAGGCGAAGATACATTCACTATTTATTTTTTTTAACACGCTTCAATTTGGAGAGAAGCGCATGCAGCAACGAGAGGGGCGCTCAATGCAGGCGGCCGTGGTGTAAATGTGGGTTATGCATTGACAGGCTCCGGTTTGAAACTGGGCCATTATGATAATGATTTTCAACATATGATGTGATTGGCCTCAGCAGTGTGACAGCGAGCGCTGTTTGATGATGCTCTTACCTGTGTCGCAGAACAGTTCAGGTGTGGCAATCGGCGGCAGACGGATGGATGGGATTGGTCCCACCAGCACGGCAACGCGTGGTGTTTGTTGTTGGTGATTGGGGTCTGACGTGTTCCCTTGCAGGTGCAATTGGTTGAAGTGTGTGCAGTAGTTGCTGCCAGACGTATGGATACAATAAGCCCCAGCTGAGCGACGATCAAGCGGTGTTTCTTGGTGCTCTTCCTGTACCCCAGATAGAGTTGGTCGAAAGGTGTAGGTGTTGCAGCTGGAGGCAGGCGTGTATGCGTACGACCAGTCCCAGCAGAGTGACACCAAGCAGTGTTTGTTGGTGCTCTTCTTTCCTGTAGCATATGGAGTGGGTCGAAAGGTAGAGGGGTTGCAGCTGGCGGCAGACGCATATGCATATGACCAGCCCCAACAGAGTGACAGCAAGCGGCGTTTGTCGGTGCTCTTCTTTCCTGTAGCATATGGAGTTGGTCGAAAGGTAGAGGGGTTGCAGCTGGCGGCAGACACATATGCATACGACCAGCCCCAGCGGAGTGACAGCAAGCGGCGTTTGTTGGTGCTCTTCTTTCCTGTAGCACGTGGAGTTGATCAAAAGGTACAGGTGTCGCAGCTGCCGGCGGACATGTGCCGATGATTAGCCCTAGCAGAGTGATAACAAGCGGTGTCTGTTGGCGCTCTACCTGTAGCAGCTGTTGTTGGCTGGGACCTACAGGTGCTGCCATGGCCATTGTTGGCAGAAGTATGCCTACAACAATTACCCCGAGCAGAGCGACAGCAAGCGCCGAGTGGTGTTTGCCAATGCTCTACCTGTAAGCAGATGGAGTAGGTTGAAAGGCACAGCTGACAGCTGTTGCAGCTTCTGGCTGACGTACGCATATGGTTTGCACCAGCAGCGTGACAACAAGTGGTGTTTGTTGGTCCTCTGCCTGTGGCGGCTGTTGTTGGCTAAAAGTTATGGGTGTCATAGACGGAAGCAGATGTATGAATACAATTGGTTCCAGCATAATGACAGCAAGCGGTGTTTGTTGGTTGGTACGCTTCCTGTAGCCGGATGGAGGTGGTGGAGAGGTGCAGGTGTTGCAGGTGGCAGCAGACAGGCGCGTAAGGGGTAAGGACGGAATTTTTCGCCTGTCAGCGCCAAATATGTTTTGGGACCGAAAATGCAGTGACAGTTGGGCCTGAGATAACTCCGCGGGCTTAGTCCCTTACTGCAGCTGAAGTGGAACTCAGCTGAACTCCATGTAATGGAACTGGAACTGGAACTGGAACTGGAACTGGAACTCCATGTAATGGAACTAGAACTGGAACTCCTTTTAGTGGAACTGGAACTGGAACTCCATGTAATGGAACTGGAACTGGAACTGGAACTGGAACTCCATGTAATGGAACTGGAACTGGAACTCCATGTAATGGAACTGGAACTGGAACTGGAGCTCCACGTAATGGAACTGGAACTGGAACTGGAGCTCCATGTAATGGAACTGGAACTGGAACTGGAGCTCCATGTAATGGAACTGGTGTTTAATAAGTGGAACTGGAACTGTGGTGGAACTGAGTGGGACTCTGCGGACCCATTGCCGTCGACGTGGAACTAAGTGGAACTGTGTGTGTTGCTGTCTGATTCTTGGTAGAAAGGTACAGGAGTTTGGAGTTGGTGGCACACTACTGCGTAAGACTTAGCGGAGAGGAACGGGTCTTTGGCCTGTCAGTGGTGCCAATTGTGTTTTGGGACCGAGGGTGGAGCGGACTTATCAGAGGTCCAGGTGTAATCCTTTCGCTGAAGTGGAACTGCGTGGCACTAAGTGGAACTCGGTGACACCAAGTAGAACTGCGTGGTACCAAGTGGGACTAAGTGGAACTGTGTGTAGCTTTCTCATTCTTGGTTGAAATGGACAGGTGTTGGAGTCCGTGGCAGACAGCCGCCGAAGCGGGACGGGAAGGATTTTTGGCCCATCTATGGTGCCAATTATGGTTTGGGACCTAGCCTGGAGCCCCGGTTTACGAGAGGTTTGGGTCTAATCCTTCTTCGGCTGCAGTCGCGTTGCGTGAACTGGACGTGGAACTGAGCAGAACTGAGCGGAACTGAGCGGAACTGAGTGGAACTAAGTGGAACGTCGGCAGTCTATTGAAAAACTTTAGAAAAGGTTTGCCACCCTCGTGGAGGGGGTCTGAGGATCTTGTTGTGTGTTGCCGGTTGATTCTTGTTGCTTGTGAACTCTCTGTAGCCAGTCGATTGAAAGAAGGTTTGCCACGCTCACTGATTTGTTTTCTGTGTTCTTTGCAAAATAGAAGTCAATTGAAGCAGTATCTCAAAGGATGGCAGCATACAGCTTTTTCTGGCGCAAGCTGCATGGAAGCCAGATGTGCCTTGTGGTGTGTTTTGCTGGTTGTTTGTTACAATCAGTCATGAGAGAGATGGGGAGGAGAGAGAGGAGAAAAGTCCATTTGTTTGCTTGCACAAGGCGTGCAAGTAGTGGTGAGCAGATTGGAGGAATGAGAGACGAAAGTTTTACGTGAAGGAGTAGAGATAGGCTGGAAGAGGTGTGAATATAGGTAGGTAGTATGTGAGACAGGGAGGCGTTTCTGCCTCAGGCTGAGGTTTTGTCACATAATGATTGAGTTTGAATGTAACAGCCGTGGTGCTATTGATTCTTCGAGGAGAAGCTGTATGTCTGAACAGTCCCTCTCTCTCTCTCTCTCTCTCTCTCTCTCTCTCTCTCTCTCACTCACACACACACACACACACACACACACACACACACACACACACACACA